AGATCTGGGAACAGGACAAGCTTCTTCTTGAAAATGAACAAAGTAAGCCTACCACTTCAAGGACAAGGAAATAACGCAACTCCAGCTCCAAAATGAATGCAGAGTTTGGGGAAGCTTGTTATCGGCACCGTGAGTCTGACAACCTCCCAGTATTTAGAAGTTGTTTCTAATGAGATCAGTTGTGCTATTTACCGAAGTGATTTGGGGATATTGTATAATGAAATGTGTCAATGTTTGGAAGAACTACATAACTCAGGGAAGCATTCTTTTCCAAACGATATCGTATCACGCATGAGTAACACACCCATTCCAAGTAGCAGAGAGACCCATGGATCTTAATGTAAGATAACAGGAAACAGTCATTAATATGATTTCCAATGTCACATAGCAACAAACCACCAGGCATCACGTTGTGGTGTGGTATCCAAGGAGACTATTTCCCATTTTCTGTAAAGGCTATTAAAGCCCCTGCCTTTTTCTAACTACACATCGGTGGGAGGGTTTTCCTCAGATACTTCCATCAAAATAACTTATCACGAGAGAGGGAAAACATTCACAGAAATGACACTAAGGGCTTTCTGAGAAGTCAGACATCAAAAAGCAAGATGTTACTCTTTTCTCTAAATATTTTTTTTGCTGTTCTGGAAAATAGCTTTTTTTTCTCTCATAAAAAATGTTATTTATGTTAGCATGTTTTAAATCTGTTTTAAATCTGATTTTCAACCTTTTTCATCTGATGGCACAAGATAAACTAAGTACTAAAGTTCTGAGGCACACCAGAAATCACTTTTTTGCTGGTCTGAAAACAAAATAGGTGTCATTTTTATTGATTTACAAAAATATATATATATATATTAGTAATTACCTACCCTTTTTGCTCCAAAGGCACTTTGTAAAAAAATAAGGTGCCTATACAGGAACATAAGGATTTGTGGTACCAAGAATTAGCCAATCAGGTGCAATCTGAGAAACGCATCATTAGGCAATTTCCTCGTTGCGTGAACATCATAGGGCGCACTTACACAACCTAGAGCAGGTGGGCAAACTTTTTGACTCGAGGGCCACAATGGGTTCTTAAACTGGACCGGAGGGCCGGAACAAAAGCATGGATGGAGTGTTTCTGTGAACTAATATAAATTCAAAGTAAACATCATTACATAAAAGGGTACGGTCTTTTTTTTTTCAGTTTTATTCATTTCAAACGGGCCGGCCCACGGGCCGTAGTTTGCCCACAGCTGACCTAGAGGGTACAGCTACGCCCAGGCTGTAGGGTAAACCACTGTCGTATGTGTGGTCCGTTGTAGACCGAAAGGTCATTATGCAGCGCATGACTGGTAACGGGTGTCACTAACCCCCTGCCCCCATGCAGCCTCCACCATAGAACTTGGAATGCCAAGCACCCTGGCAGCCTCTTTTGCAGCTAAGGTGGCCATGTGATCCACGTGTGGCCAAGGAGACATAAAAGAACGTTTGCTGGAAGTTCCCTGAGAAATGGAGAGGCCTCATGTCCACCCCACCTCCCATCTCCTTCTTGCATTTCATGAAAGACACCTGGAGCTTGACGGAACGAGCTGAGAGACACGATGCTAGAGAGAGCCGAGTGAAGAGAAATAAAGCCTCCGTCGTTGCCGATATCACCGAGCAGCGGAACCAACTCCAACCAATGCTCACAACTGTACTTACTCTGTGAGAAAACAGAATGGTGTTTATGTGAGCCACGGAGAGTCAGGTGTCTGGTAAAGCTGCACAGATGACCGATGCCTGCTTATCTGGAACACCTGGGGAGAGGCAGGAGAAGAAATACGGAGGCTGCATAACACGCACCCAAGAAAGCAATTCCGTAACAAGATGCCCATTGCAAACCGGGGCCGAAGGCATCTCTGACAATATCAAGATACAAGAACTTTCACTAACAAATGTTACAATAGAGAACACCGTCAACCATTAGCATTCTACAGGGACCTGTAGGAAGCGGGTCTAGGGTCAAGCCTCGGACTGACCTGTGGCAGGGCCCCAAACAAGTCCCAGCCTGGCGGGCAGAGCTCTCCTAGCGTAATTAAGCCTGACCTTGTAGCCCTCCCTAATTCCTTCCTAAGTAGCTCATGGGCTGTGGGAGGTGCAGCAAGTGTTGCCAAAACAAGAACATTTGTATACATGTTCATCTACCCTTGTTTTAATGACTATAAAATAAAGCATCTGCCTGCAGGCTGGGTCTTCTGTGTCCTCATCCGGGCATGGGAGATCCACCCAGCCCCAGCTGAATTCTCTTGTCTTCTTGAATCCTCCACCGCCCCTCCTCAGGTTCACCCTTGGCTGTGCTGGCGCGGCACAGGGACCAAAGACCCGCAAGACATCCCCTGACCAGATGGGTTTAAGTGGGAACATCATCTCTGGGTGTCCTGCCAAGAGCTGATGTTATTGCCAAATCCCCATTTGAAAACCATAGATAAGAATGATTTAACAGAAACCCAGAAGTTAAAACTAAGACATTTAAATAGTAACATCCCTTCTGTCTCAGAGACAAATGTGTCCATTCATCCCGAGGCTCACAGGAAAAATTCTTTCTCTTATAGTCAGTCTACTTGACATTTTTTGTTTTTAGCCATTCACGAGGAAATCGGAAAAATAATTCAGGAAGTTGGCTGCTGATCAGCTGCTCGACTGAATCAAAGGGCAACCAGGTTCATAACCTTTAAGTGGGAATGTGAAGCCGATGCATTGAGTACCTCTGTGTAAGATACCGGGCAAGCAGGGGTGGGAAGGGGGCAGGTGGGTATAGAGAGACTCCAGACACACACACACACACACGCTCGGTTCACCGTCTCGTGTGAGCAGGGAGAGATCCCTGAGAGAAGGTCAATGGAACGTCTCAGTACTAGTTGGAGACGTAGAAGCGATGGCATCACACATGCATGATTTATGGCCACGAAGACTGTTGCTGACGGGCACTGCAGGAGGATGTCAGAGAGAAGATCACCTTGAACGGAGGACAGCGTGAGGGAAACCAGAGAAAGCAGGATCCCCGCTCAATCTTGAAAGAGGCATTGAAACCTGCGGGTGGGCAAAGGAAGCACTTGAACAGCTTCTTAGAAGGGCTGGTTTTGGTTCCTGTTGTGTTTTTTAAGGTGAGGAACCCTCTGGGATGTTGGGTGATGGTGTAGGCAGGGCGGCAGGGCCAGGGGGATGATGGTAGAGGAACACTGGACGTTCAAAAGAAACCGGCAGCCAAAAGGTGGAATTAACGCAAGAGCCCATCAACAGGTGAACAGATTAACCAAAGGTGGGCTACAGTGGGTTACTATTCAGCCTGCAAAAAGGGGGAGGTTCTGACAACATGGATAAGTCCTCCTTACGGCTAGACCTTTACGACATGACGCTAGGTGAAATGAGCCCGTCCCAGAGAAAGTTCTGAAGGGTTCCACTTCCGTGAGGTACCCAGTGCCGCCAAATTCACACAGAGAGATGCAGAGTGGGGGTGGCCGGAGGCTGGGGGAGAGATGAGTGGGGAGTTAGGGTTCATGGGCACAGGGCTTCAGTTCTGCAAATGAAAAGAGCTCTGGAGGTGGGTAGTGGTGATGACTGCACGACAATGTGCATGTACTTAATACCACACTTAGAAATGGTTAAAGTTAAGATGTGATGTGATGTGTATTTTACCACATAATCTATATATATAAAAGCCCAGCAACCTGAATGGCGGAATGGCCATAACAACCATTCGCTATGACACGCACTTCAGTGGCCAAGCAGCCCAATCTGGGCCCCCATCAGCACCCCCCAAACCTCCTGCGGCCCCTCTCCCCAACCCACCCCACTCCCAATCGGACGCCCATCCTGATCGGAGGGTGGGACCAGCTAGCTGGAGGGGAGGGGCTGTGGGTGGTTGGCCAGCCCCGCCCTCAATCGCCCCTCATCAGGGCAAGCCGCCAGACTCCACCCATGCACGAATTCGTGCACCCCGCCTCTAGTAAACATAAATATTTAAAAACAGAGAGATAGGGAATAGCAGGAGAAAAGTAAAGACAGAGACTGGGGTTCAAGAGGGAGCTCAGAGCTCCTGAGAGGTGGCAGTTGGGCGCCAAAAATAAGGGTGACCGCCCAGCTGGGTGTGGCTCAGCGGTTGAACGTCAACCCAGGAACCAAGGGGTCATCAGTTCGATTCCCGGTCAAGGCATGTGCCCGGTTGTGGGCTCGATCCCCAGTGTGGGGTGTGCTGCAGGCAGCCGATCCATGATTCTCTTTCATCATTGATGTTTCTGTCTCTCTCCCCCTCTCCCTTCCTCTCTGACATCAATAAAAATATATTTTTAAAAAAATAAGGGTGACCCTTTGTCAGGACCCAGGCCTGTGACTCCCACGGCTCCACCAGTAATTCCACGACTGAGCGGTAAACAGGTGTACACAACCCCTCCTCCAATTCTTTTAACTTAATGAAGACTTTTTAAATAATTTTTAAAAACCTCTGACCTTGGAAATGATAACAGCTGGGCACTGGCAGACACTCACTTCTGAGCCCTGCCCTCCCCACCCCCCGACCCCCTGGGCCACACTCGGATGCGGACACTAAGGTAGACAACTCGGTCCCAGAGAAGGTGAAGTGCGGGCCGCGTCTGCAGGGCCTGGCGGGTGGAGGCCGCTGGCAAAGTCAAGAGGCTGGCAGAATGGGCTTTGTTTGGGGTTCCTGGACCCGATTCCCATGCTGAGGGGGGGTGACTTTACCCCACACCCCCGAGCGCTTCTCAGAACAGCTGCTGGGCTGCTGCAAGGCCGCTCAGTTCTGACTCATCACCTGAGCGCGCAGGGGCCTGGGAGGGGGAGTCAGAGAACCTTCCTCACAGCTTCCCTCTGGTCCCTGAAGCAGCACCGCCCGCCCGCCAGCCCCGAGGCAGCACGCGGGGTCCTGTCTCCGAGCATTAAAACATACGTCATGCGCTTCGCAGACAATGCAGAGACGACGGGAATGGAGAACCAAGCGCATAATTACAAGATAAAAACGAACGTCCTTCGCTGGCGTAGGTTTTAATAGGATTCTAATAATGTTGGTAAGGAGCCAAATTACAAAATGCCCCGGAATATGGAGTACAAAACCTCAGAGACAAAATAAAAACTCATAAAAATATAAGAGCCCTTTAAAATCAGCCATAATCTTTAGGATAAAGAAACCACTTTCTCAACAAAGGGACTGAGCACGTTTAATAAAAACTGAGTGGGATTAAAGACAGGTGTCCACCCAGCCACACCCCCCACATCCCCTCACAGCGACAGGGAGGTGAGATTAGTGTCCCAGGAGGAAGGTGCGGAGCGGGGAGCCAGGAGCGTGCAGAGGGGGCCTGTCACCAGATCTGGTGAAAACCGCCTGGAGGCACCTGGATCTCCGCACATCTCACTTACAGGTTAGGAATCCTTTACTCCCAGACTGTGGTGTGGCCTGGGGAGTGGCCTTGGAGTGGCCCTGGAGTGACTTTGGGAGTGACCCATGATGGCCGCCCATCCACACAGCCCCCACCCCCACAGCAGGATGGGGTCTTGGGGGCGACAGGATGAGCTGTCTGCTTGGGAACAACTAAGTAATATGTGACCAACAAACCAAAAATGAGACATAGAAACACCGGAGTCCCCACCCCCAGAGGGACAGGAAGCCACTCCCCTGTGGGAAGCAGGACAGCAAAAGCAGAGAAAGTGCCCAGAACTCAGCTCCGCCACCAGCCACCACCATGAGGATGGCGGGTGGGGGCCCCTCCACTCTAAAGCGCACGGCTTAGGGCCGCTGCCATGTGGGCCTCCATTCGTTTCCACGGGCACTACACCCTCTGCTTCACTGGGGTCAGATGTTCCCGTCAGCGCGCCGGCTCTTCCCGCCAGGGCCACGATGGTTGTTACTGTCCGCCGAGCACATGCAGCCGCGTGCAGCAGTTGTGACGTGCGGTGGGTGACAGCGCGCGTGGGGACACTCCCCTGCACCCCGGCAAACCGGCACGCAAAGGGGAAGGCAGCCCACGCCAGCGCCTCGAGCCAGGCTGGGCACAGGCCCCTTTATCTTAACCCTAAATCAGTAGCTTAGTCAGATGCAGACTCCGTGCGAGGGGAGAGCGTCGGGGAGATGAGGCTTTGCGTGGGTGAGCTGTGCGTCTCCGTGTGCCGCCTGGTGCCGGGAAGGCGCGTGTAACTTCCAGATGAAAGGCGCTCGGCTCCCTGGGGGAGGGTTATCCCCACCTCCCGAAGTTTAATGGGACGGGACTCACTGAAGCTTCTGGCTGGGCCTGCTGTTGATGGAATCAAAGTCAATGACAATCTTGCTGCACTTGGGTGTGAATTTCCTAAATGGAAGAAACAAAATAGATAATGAGAGATAAACGGAAGAACTTGTGTACATAAAGGCGTAGCCCAGGGACATGGGCAATAGGGTGGTGAAGATCTGGCTGGAGGAGGGGTGTAAAGGGGGGGATGGAAGATATCTGTAATACTATCAACAATAAAAAATATATTTTAAAAAAGAAAAATATATAATGGTATTTATCCAGTGAGTAGTTAAAATAATCTGTTTAGTTTGGCTTAATCCACATTTTCTGTGGGGACTCACTTTATCCTATAGGAGCCAATTACAGGGCCTGTGCAGAGAGGAACATAAGACTCAGACCCAGTCCTAACCGGTTTGGCTCAGTGGATAGAGCATCAGCCTGCGGACTGAAGGGTCCCAGGTTCGATTCCAGTCAAGGTCATGTAGCTTGGTTGCAGGCACATCCCCAGTGGGGAGTGTGCAGGAGGCAGCTGATCGATGTTTCTCTCTCATCATTGAGGTTTCTATCTCTTTCTCCCTCTCTGAAATCAATAAGAATATTTTTTTAAAAAGCACAATTATTAGCCAGAGCATCTTCAACTACATCTGTCACTGCTCTTAAAGATCTGCCCCTAAAATACAGAGAGGCTCAGCCCACGCCTTGGAAAAGAGGGGCCGGAGGTGGAAGGGAGTCGGGCATCACAGGCAGAAACGAAACACGGGTCCAGGCCACACACCCACCTCCATCAGGCCTCAGCCCCCCCTTTCTCCATCAGGCCTCAGCCCCCCATTTCTCCATCAGGCCTCAACCCCCCCTTTCTCCATCAGGCCTCAGCCCCCCAT